CTGGAAATAGAGGAAAAGTGTTAGAAACAATTTTCATATAATATGTACTGTATATTTTCCGAAAAAAATAATACAGTACATGATATTCGATAAAGTGAACTACACCCGAAGTAATATAACACCGACATACCACGTTTGTCACACATACATGACTAACGAGAAATATCTGAAAAGTTATCCTTATCGCCACTGATGAAATGGTGAAAAAAATGCCATACTGTTTTGTTTTTTTTATTAGTGAATAGTTATGCAAGTTCTCCGACTGCGAGGGATGAGGAAATAAAACAAAAGAGTAGAAGGCTGCGCGGGTAGCCATGTGTCCTGATCGTCCATTGTGTGTGTTGTTCCATGTCCTTTGTCTTTCGCAAACATTAATGAAAAAAGAAAAAAAAAAAAACGGTGACGTATCCTGACGCTATGCACAATGTATCACTTTCAGGCTGGAACCCCGGGTCGCAGCTGCTGCATAAGTGGTGTGACCCATGGAGAGAGAGTACTTTTTTCTGTCGGCCTGGCTGCTGCTTCTTCCTCTTCCTTCCATCCCTGCCTAACTTCTCTCGCTCCCGCTCTCCTTCTCTCCCTCTCCCCCCCTTTCTCCCTCCCTGTCCGTGTCTCTCTCTCTCTCTCTCTCTCTCTCTCTCTCTCTCTCTCTCTCTCTCTCTCTCTCTCTCTCTCTCTCTCTCTCTCTCTCTCTCTTTCTCTTTCTCTCTCCTTCCTTCCTTCCTTCCTTCTTTCCCTCCCTCCCTCCTTCCTTCCCTCCCTCCCTCCTTTCTTCCTTCCCTCCCTCCCTCCCATCTTCCCTCCTTCCTTCCTTCCCTCCCTCCTTCCTTACCTCCCTCCCTCCTTTCTTCCCTCCTTCCCTCCTTCCTTCCTTCCCTCCCTCCTTCCTTCCCTCCCTCCTTTCTTCCCTCCTTCCTTTCTTCCCTCCTTCCTTCCTTCCCTCCCTCCGTTCCTTCCCTCCCTCCTTCCTTCCCTCCCTCCTTCCTTCCTTCCTTCCCTCCCTCCCTCCTCCCTCCCTCCTTCCTTCCCTCCCCCGTTCCTTCCTTTCTTCCCTCCTTCCTTCCTTCCTTCCCTCCCTCCTTCCCTCCCTCCCTCCTCCCTCCCTCCTTCCTTCCCTCCCCCGTTCCTTCCTTTCTTCCCTCCTTCCTTCCTTCCTTCCCTCCCTCCCTCCTTCCTTCCCTCCCCCGTTCCTTCCTTTCTTCCCTCCTTCCTTCCCTCCCTCCCTCCTTCCCTCCCTCCCTCCTTCCTTCTCTCCCCCGTTCCTTCCTCCCTCCTTCCTTCCCTCCCTTCTTTCTTCCCTCCTTCCTTCCCTCCCTCCCTCCTTCCTTCCCTTCCTCCTTTCTTCCCTCCTTCCTTCCTTCCCTCCCTCCTTCCTTCCCTCCCTCCTCTCTCTCCTTCCCTATCAGATTTACTTATTTCCTCCTCCCTCTATTTTTCCCTCTTTCCCTCTCCCCTTCCTTGCCTCCCCCTCTCTCTCTCTCTCTCTCCTTCCTTTCCCCTTCTCTCCAGTATTATTTTTCCCTCCATTTCCCCTCCCTCCCTCTTCTGTTTCCAACTTTCCTTTCTTGCTATCATTTCCCTCCTACCTTCCCTCTCCCTCTTTGTTTCACATTCCCTCTTTCCTTCTCCGTGTCTTTTTTTTTCTCCATCTCCCCTTCACTTCCATCAGCTTCTTCTGCTTCCATCTCCCCCCCCCCCCTCGCTCTCTTTCCCTTATGCTTTCCTTCCTTTCTTCTCTTCTTACATTTTCCTCCCATTCCCCTTCCTTTCATCTACATCCTCCTGCTTCTATGTTCTCCCCTTCCCTCCCTTCCTTCCCTCCCCCCTTCTTTATTTTCTTCTTCTTTTTTTTTCCCTTCGCCCTTCTTCTTCTTTATCCCTCCATTCCCCCTTCTTTTTCATTTACCTCTTCCCCTTCCACCTTTCCCCTTCTCCCTTCGCATTGCCGCCCACGTCAGAGCTCACAACAACTGCCTTACTTGAGCTCAAACATGTCAATCATTCACAGCAGGACGTCGATAAATGCCGATAAATCTATTCAGAGTCAAGATAGTGATGACGTCATTAAAAAAAGAAAGAAAGACGAAGGAGAAAGAAAAAAAAACTCCCTTTTCGTACGGAGATCGAACATCCGACCTATTTGAGCGATGTGCCTTTGTTGTGCTTTTGTGTTATGGTGTGTGTTTGTTTGTTTTTTGGTGCGTGTGTTTGATTGCTTATTTATTTGAGTTTGTGAGAGAGAGAGAGAGAGAGAGAGAGAGAGAGAGGGAGAGAGAGAGAGAGAGAGAGAGAGAGAGAGAGAGAGAGAGAGAGAGAGAGAGAGAGAGAGAGAGAGAGAGAGAGAGAGAGAGAGAGAGAAGAGAGAGAGAGTGAGAGAGAGAAAGAAAGAAAGAAAGAAAGAAAGAAAGAGAGAGAGAGAGAGAGAGAGAGAGAGAGAGAGAGAGAGAGAGAGAGAGAGAGAGAGAGAGAGAGAGAGAGAGAGAGTGTGTGTGTGTGTGTGTGTGTGTGTGTGTGTGTGTGTGTGTGTGTGTGTGTGTGTGTGTGTGTATTATGTGTGTGTGCGTGCGTGCGTGCGCGCAATATCACGTAACGAAGTAGAACACCCGCCAAAGTGTTGTTATCAATATTTACTGCCATACGGTATATGGGTTATCATCATGAAAACGGGACTGAGATATTGTTAACGACTATATATGTATATTTACCAGTCTTGATTCCCTTTGAACATACGCTCCAGGAATAAACCTGTAACTTACGTCAGCCCAGAATATTGATTTTACAGCAAGGGCTGTGTGAATTTAGCATTACTGGTGACGTAACAATTGATTCTTTGGGTATTTACTTTTAATCTTGTTTCTAAATTAAAATTGTCACCAATAAAACCACTTTTTTTACTAGCTAATCAATATTCAACTGTGTGTAGATAAATAAATGAATAAATAAATACAACAAATAAACATTTTTAAATATCCATAATGTATATATAGTACCATCCTTTTTAAGGAACAGTCAGCTGTCTTTATAAAAAACTAAACGTAAGATAATAACTTACTAGACAGTCAACTCAGGAAGTAATAAAACATACTAAGTTATTACGCTGACTTCTAAATCAATTCACGGCTGACGAAGAAAGATGGCTAAGAGTATATGACGTATCAATAACTCCATATTGATAACGAAGGACAGTGACCAAACGAAAATCCTCGATAAAATTATATCAGGCATTTTAGTCATGTTTCGGTAAATGATTGATAAGGTTAGTGTACGCGGAGAGACAATGGAACCGTGAAGTGCGTGCTGTGTGGTATGTTAAGGTCTATCATGCAACAGACAGACTAACCGGGATATGATTTTTCCTTCTTTCTTTGTCTCTCCCTTTCTCTTTCTTTTCATTTTTTTTTCTCTCAGTCTCTAAGACTGTCTTTCAGACTCTCTGCTCTCTCTCTCTCTCTCTCTCTCTCTCTCTCTCTCTCTCTCTCTCTCTCTCTCTCTCTCTCTCTCTCTCTCTCTCTCTCTCTCTCTTGCTCTCCCTCTTTGTGTCTGTGTCTCTGTCTCCATCTCTGTCTCTGTGTCTCTGTGTCTCTCGCTCTCGCTCGCTCTCATTCTCTCTCTCGCTCTCGTTCTCTCTCTCGCTATCGTTCTATCTTTCTCTCTTTCTTTCTCTATCCCTCTCTCTCTCTCTCATCTCTCAATCTATTACCTTTCAATCTCTCCCTCTTTTCCTCCCTCTCTCCGTTCCTTCCTTCCTTCCTTCTTCTCCCTCCCCTTCTTACTCCCTCTCCATCTACCTTTCCCCCTCTCCCTATCTCTCTTTCTTATAACTTCGTCTCCTTTCTTCCTCGTCCTTTTTAACTTCTATCCACCAGCAAGATTAATACGTAAAAAAATAATAAAACGAAGTTGGGGTTCGTCTGTGACACACAAAAAAAGATAAAATAAAATATACAAAAACACACAACTAATTATAGACAAATGAACAAAAAATAAAACTGAAACGTAAAAGCATCATTAGTGCATTAATGATTAAAACAGAAAAGTTTTTTTTCATGATTTTACAAGGCTTGATTTTTCAACGGATGAGGACGATCTGAATGATGAAAAAAAAAAATGACTGTCAGACTTTTTTAGGAACTCTTCTCGGACGGCGGAGAGGGAGAGGGAGAGGGGGAGGGGGAGGGGGAAGGAGAGGGAGGGGAAGGGGAAGGAGAAGGGAGAGAGGGAAAGGGAGAGGGGGAAGGAGGGGGGTAGGGAGAGGGAGAGGGAGAGGGGGAGGGGAAGGGGGAGGGGAAGGGGGAGGGAGAGGGGAAGGGGGGAGAGGGGGAGGGGGAAGGAAAGGGAAAGGGAAAGGGAGAGGAGAGAGGGACAGGGGGAAGGAAAGGGAAAGGGAGAGGGGGAAGGAGGGGGATAGGAAGAGGGAGAGGGAGAGGGAGAGGGAGAGGGAAAGGGAGGGGGAGGGGGAGAGGGACAGGGAGAGGGGGAAGGAAAGGGAAAGGGGGAGGGAGGGGGAGGTGGAGTGGGAGAGGGAAAGAGCGTGGGAGAGGGAGAGGGAGAGGGAGAGGGAGAGGGAGAGGGAGGAAGAGAAGACAAAAAGAAAAAAAAAAGAAAAAAAGAAAAAAGGACATGACATTATAAAATCATCGAACTGTAACTATCGAAGTCTATTTTAACTTGTAGAATTATGAAAGTTAAGCTGCATTAATGGAGCAGGATAAAGTTGCAATTTTTCTTTTTTTTCTTTCATTCAGTTTTTTTTTATTATCATTGTTATTTTATTGTTATTAGTTTTGTTGTTATAATTGTTGTTATTTTGATTATCTTATTATTGTTATTGTTATTATTATTATTATTATTATTATTATTATTGTTAGTAGTAGTAGTAGTAGTAGTAGTAGTAGTAGTAGTAGTAGTAGTAGTAGTAGTAGTAGTAGTAGTAGTAGTAGTATCATTATTATCATTGTTATAACTATTATTATTATTATTATTGTTATTATCATTTATCA